TCTTATTCCTGACGTACCTCTGGTAGCTAGATCAGTTATACTTCTGGCACACACGCAGAGTGGCTTTTTAACTCCCTGTAATTATTTTCAGGGAACATCAGTATGCCAGGTGACAATAATAGGAGTGACCGTCATTCTCCTTTACACCTCCCGGGCCTGTTACAACCTGGTGGTGCTGGTTCTCGCCAATTACAAGAACATCAATTCCTTCGACTATGACTGGTACAACGTATCGGATCAGGTACTGTGGTTGAGATCCTGTATTTTCTAATGTCCTTAATGTCACATTCATTAACTTATGCACGCTCATAGATCCTGACATGCAAATTCTTCGAAGGCGTCCTTTTTTCCCTCAAACAGTAGGCCAATTTTCAGCTGTGTTTTCACATCTTGCACGATAATCCCATTTTAACACCTGGCATCACACTCAACAGAGCTATTTTTTCCAAAACTACTGTATATTCCCTGTGTACGTTTTGCAAAGTACTCATATAATCAGAGGGCAGTATTACAAGGATTACCTATGCAATCATGAGCTAAACCTGAAGCCAAAGTAAAAACAATTATTGCAAATATTTTTTTAATTACTCTCCTGAACCACAACGCACATGGATACATTCTTAATAAACCTAAACACTAACAAATGAATGCGAAAAAGTATTATGCCCAATAAATTATTGAACCAGCTCGTTTCAGATACAGGATGCTGATAATTATGTGTTAAACTGAAGACTAATCTGACTACTGCTACTAATAATAATGAGCTATTTGGCCAAATGTTTGCAAGGAGGACTTAAATGGTTAACAAATCAAGCGTAAACTCTGACAGACACGTAGCCGAGCCCCAGAATATCACCTCAGGCTCTGTGGGCTGACTGACACCTCCTCTCCTCTCTCCGGGCAGGCGGACCTGAAGACCATGCTGGGGGACGCAGGCTACATCGTATTTGGGGTCATCCTCTTCGTGTGGGAGCTGCTCCCCACATCGCTGGTGGTCTTCTTCTTCAGGGTCCGCAGGCCGGCGCAGGACGGGGTGAGTCAGGAGGGGGGAGGGGTGTCCAGGGCAGCTTTGGGGATCTTGGACCCAAAACCACCTGCTGATATCTGGTACTCAGACACAGTTCCAAGCACGAGACTTATAACTGGCTTTACTATTCCTGGTGTAAGGAGTACAGTACAGCTGGTATTACTATTCCTGAAGTAACGAGTACAGTACAGCTGGTATTACTATTCCTGAAGTAAGATGGACAACTGGTATTATCATTCCTGATGTGAGGGGTACAGCTGTGCTATAAATTGAGACAGATGCTTGCTAAGACTGCTTACCAGGACAAGGGCATTGCTGTGAGCCCCACAGTGAGGTGTGACACATGTGCTATGATTCAGGACATTTTGCCAGTCATTCTTTATAGAGGAATATTAATTCCATCTCATGACATTGATTCTCGGCGAACAGCACTAGTCAAGACAACTATTCCCTAGTTGTTTTTTTTCCTCCCATGTTGAGTCACCAATTATCTTTAAAAGGCAAAGGAATGATTGTTTGCTTTGGCTACACAGTGCTTGATTTCATAAAGGCTGTTATTTGAAATATCCTCTCCTTTAAATGCATCATTTCACACTGCTGAAATATTGTTTTTGTCCACTGTTGTCGATTTGAGCTTTAACAAAGGACTATTTTTGCTACATATATAATATAATGTCACAAACCAGTACAAATCCGGTCCTTTCCAAAGGATATTGTTTTAAAATTGGCCCTGAGATATATTTCTGTTTAAGAAACTAAATGTTATCAAAGCTTGCTGAAAATCGGCAATACTTTCAACAGAATTTCACTTCCCAGGGCAGAAAAAGGTCCAGGCTGTGATTTGAACCCTGTTGTTTAACTTGCTGCAGGTTGACACATTCGCGATAGATGATATCTTGGGAATTTATAAATTTAGCAACTGTTTTAGGGTGACTGTCTTCACTGCGTCTTTTCCTCTGCGTTCCTCAGGGCGGATCCCGGATCCCCAGCCACGCATTCTCCTCCAGGGCCTATTTCTTCGACAACCCCCGGCGCTACGACAGCGACGACGACCTGGCTTGGAACATCATCCCGCAGAACGTCCAGGCCAGGTAAAAAAAAAACCCTTAAAAAACTAGGAAAGACGACACTGTAGAAAAGATGCTGCCTGAGGAGCTGTAAGCTGCTTTGTTCTTTTAAAAATGACCAAAAAATACCCCCCCCCCCCAAATAAAAAGTAGCAGACGGCACCAGACGAGACCCCAAAGCAGTAAATCCATAAACCCCAACTTTGCAAAGCATAAATAACTGAATCAATGCAGAAACCTGCCAGTGCCATTAAATTGCCTGATTGCTGCCTGGCAATGATTAGTGACTTGGACACATTGGGTGCGAGATGAATTCCGCTACCTGAGGGGCGTTTGAAGAAGACTGACGAGCGGGGTTTTTGCCTGACCTGTGAGGGCTGTCTCGCCGTTCCCTCCGCAGCCTGACGGCGGAGTGCTACGACTGGGGCAGCCGGAGCAGCGGGTTTGTGGCCTACATCGGGACAGAGAGCCCGGACTCCCTCCCGACTCAAGAGGAGCTGAACCCTTACTGACAGACACTTCCTGCACCGCGCATTTGCACAGGGACCTACGGATGATGTTGGAAGACGGGGGGCTTCACCGGCTCTGCGAACTGTAGGACATGCGGCCTTTTACATTCATTGTAAATAGTTATTACTTTTATATATTAAAAAAAAAGATGTGTTTTGTTGTTCGGGACCTTCTAAAATTTAGCTTTGCTGCTCACAAATGTTTTCAACTTGGTTTATTTCACTAGGCAACCCTGAAACCAAGACTAGCTGTCCTTCAGTCTCGAGATCAGTGCTGATGGGACTGACATTCATCTTTTTTGTCTCCCATCTCTCTCACAACGTCTCAGCAGTTCTTCACAAACTGCTGGGTATGACAGAAATACAGCAGACGCTGGGGCGTGATCAACAATATGATAGGCAGCCAGACAGCTTTGATAACTAGAATATGCTGCACTGCATAGAATGAATAAAAATGAACAAGTAACAGGTTTATTCCATGTTGAAAAAAAGAAGAGAGAAAACACGTTTCGGCCGGGGAGCCTTCTTCAGCTGTGCAAAATATTCATTATATGAATATATATTATTCATATAATGAATAATACAGCTGACAAGAATCCACATTTAATAAGAGTCACTGGTCAAGGGCCACTTTTTCAGTCAGGACTGACGAGACCACAAACAAGGAATCCAAAAAAAACCAAAAGGAACAATTTCGCTTTCAGATGAAGGAAACCTTTTCAAATGTGAACAAAACCGAGACCTGCCAACTGCTGCGAACACACAACCCCCACTGTCTGTCACTGGGGTATCTGAGCATGCACAGGGTTTGAATGGCTTGTCAACTCCAGGGGACCGCTGGAGAAAACACCCTCCTTCTGTAAAATTGGAATAAGATCAGAAGGTTAAGAAAGCGGGGCTGCTGTGGCTTGGCATTGGGAGGCAGGTTTTGCAATTCCAGAATAATTCTGCACATTTTACACAGCAAACAGATGCTTTTGTTTTGGGGACGGTATAATATTTTAGAAAAACTAACCTACAATGTGCCACAGTGCAACCCCACTTATCAGTAATACTGTGACTTACTAGATAAACATGATGATGATGATGTAATAACTAGAGTGTGCTCTTATGCATTTCATATATACAGAGACAGTAAAAAGTGCAAAAAAGGTTTTGGGCCAAATAGCACCAGTTGTGTTTGTAATGCTTTTTTATTGAGGATTCAGTTCTTTAGACAGATGAAACCTTATCGGAGTATTAGCTCTCAATGGCCGAGCCAGAGCTAAGGCAAGGCTTTAAAAGCAGTGCAGAGATGGCTGGTCAACATTCTGAAGATTTCATTTTCAGCCTTGATTCTTTGTTATTACACAACTGCAGAGCTGTTGAAGGTAGTGCATCAGTCGAACTGGAATTGCAGTGCTGGCCCAACTGCAAACATCACTAAGTCTGAGTACTTAAAAGCCTATTAAAACAGCCTGCACTTATTTGTCAGAGAGCAACACTAATCCTGATGTTTTGTACAAAGCTTCACTCAACATTGGAGAGATAGAGTAGCTCAATCAGACATGTACCTGCAGGAACATAGATGGGAAAGGTACACTTTATTTATTTTATCCAAGACCAGTGCTATTTATGGGGCACAGATATATTTTATGCATGTTTCATTTTCCCGATATAGAAAGGTTTTAGATTTTATTTTTTATATATGCATAATTATTTTAATTTCACATTTCGGCTCTACAGCTTTCCTATCTCTGTATGATTCGTGGTCCATTCTGAACTAGAGACGCAAATAAAGAGCACGTTGTACAAAATACCATCCCGGTCAGCTGTTTTTCCATCTGTTTTCTTTTACAGTATAATGGTTTCAACAAAAGCACTTGCATGTTGCGCAAAGTTCGGCCAATGGACATTATGTCTCAGAGAACCCGAGTGCTGTTGTTATGAGCCCCTGCTCCACAACATTTCAGCAACATGGTGTCACGGTTACGTAATCTTAAAACAAGAGACCTTGTGATCGGCTGTGGCCCCACCTCCTTCCCTCTCAAATCTCTACTGAGAGGGTACAGAGGCCTGCAAGAACTGGGCCGTTCTGCCCAACTATTTGGGACACGTGGCGATGTACTGTATGCTGAAACCAGTAGCACAAAGTACTGTAGCTCCATCACCGTCACCATCATCACAACCTCAGTAGAAGGTGATCCTACCAGGACAGGGGGAGACCATCAGGGTCAATGAGGGCCTGTGTGTTTGCAGGTTTTCTTTCCAACCTAGTTCTTAAATTAACTCGGCTCATTATGGACTTATTGCTTCTCCTAGCTCTTCACACTGGCGCTTTGAAGCGATCTAGAAAACCAGCAGGGAGAGCTGCCCTCCAGGACCTGGACTGTCCACCCCCGTGCTAGAAGGAAGGGATGCGATACTTTAAAAACCCTCCATCCATTTTTCTCACCACTTCTTCCAATTCAGAGTCGTGGATCTCCTGGCAGGAAACAGGCGCAAGGCAGGATACACCCTGGACCAGACACCAGGCCATCACAGGACAGACAGAGACAAGCATGCACACTCACACCAGGGCCAGTTTCCCCAGAAGCTAATGTTTTCTTGGACTGTGGGAGGAAACCCACGCAAACATGAGGAGAACATACAAAGTCCACAAAGACAGAGCTTCAGGCTCGAACAGAACCCAGGGCCCAGCAATTCTAATCACTGTGCCACCGTGGCATGCAGCTGTGAAACCCTTTCATATAAGTTCAAAGTCCAACAGAACACGGAACCAACTATACCAACAACCCACAGCCAACAAAAAATCCTCAAATGAATCGGTGATCAAAGGAGCTATGTGGCCCCTGTGGTCTCTGAGGCCAACACATCATTCAGAGTTCCTTTACATTTTGGTGAATCTAAAATTTGTCTCAGAAAACACAAACACAATGTTATGCTTGACAACCACAAATATTTATTCTTCTCTTCAAATAAATATACTTGATAAGTACAGAGATCAATACAGGTGCAATGATTTTGAGTTCCTGAAAAAAAAAAGATCAATTTCTTCTTTACAAATGCTAAGAGTTACATATTAGAGTAAAAAGGCAAGGTAAAGGGAACATTGTAAAGCAAAGAGCGGCAGACGGAACTTTACAATCGATTTTGTCCATGTGAGAAAGCTTCAACTTTAAGTTTAAGGCAGACAGTGGCTTGCACAGAAAGCTCTCGTGCTAGTAAGAGTCATGCATTTCCAACATGAAAAACAGAACGGAGTACTACAGTTGGTTTTATTTCACATCCCACAAGTTCCTTCATTTCTGGCTCAGAAAAGTGAAAGTCTGAAAGAGTCTAAAAGAAGCAGATGGAGGTTAGTGGAGTAACACAGCACTAAACCTTAGGCAGCACATTTCTCATATGGAATGTAAAACACACACATAGGAAGGGCTCTTTTGATCACATTTAGTGCAGCATGGCTGTTGGATCACAGCGGAGGAGGGAGTTATTAATGGGCTTAACCATCTGCACACACAGTGCTGTCTGTTACAAGACTGAACCATGAACACTAAAGAGGAGGCAGCAATGAAACATTCACAAACGGGTCACCCAGAACTCTTATCCTTACAAATGCACCTTTTTAAAATTGGTAACGATTAGGCCAGACATTTAATTTTAAGGAAAAAAGGAATGTAAATCAAAATCATGTCCCCTAAAAAGATACAACAAAACCAGTCACCATATGCATTTACTGCTCAACAGTTCAAGAAAGGAAGGGCACTGCTCTACTCAGCAGGGGGTTCCAGTCCTGTAGAGCTCCAGGTCAGTCTTTTTTATAAGTTACCTGAAAATCTATTTCTTTAGATAAGGAACAATTAGTTCCTCATAACTTAAAGATCAATTAAGCAATTTGTATAATCATGAGAAGTCAGGTCCTTGAGGGCTGAATGAACTTCAGAATTTGGTCTCAAATGATCCCTAAATTACTCCGTTTTTTTTTTTTAAACTTAATTGATCACAGGTATTGTCCCAGCTCTTCCAAGATAAGTGACGTAGCGTCTTATGAAAGCTGCTGGAAAGGGGCGCTCTAGAAGCATGGCTGTGCACTACGTGTTTGTCAGATGAACAGCACACACGTCGCTGAAAAGGTCACGGCGAATTCAGGGAAGCAGCATATTCTGTCTCCTTTCCCGTTTCAATGTCATAATCTTTACAATGGAATAGACCACCTTAGAGTTGTGGAATTCTTCCTTGCGGTCAGTTCGGGTTGTGCCGGGTGCCATGAATTGCACAGTGCTACAGACAGAAAGCTGTTAAGTGCACAGAAGTGTCCAATACTGGTCCTAGAGGGCCTGGGTATCTGCAGGCTCTTAACAAGCTCATCATTAGCATTCAAAAGCACAACACTTGAAGAAATGTTTTTTACATTTTATAGGCATAAACATTTAGAAGAAGATGCCATAAGAGCTCTATGACTTGGCCACAGACTTGCATTTTTTAAAAAGTTTTCTGTAAAAATCTGACCAAATAAAAAGCACATTATTCTAATTGATGGTTTCTCCTAATTATATGAGCAAAAATCATCTCTCGTCTGTATGAGTACAGCAAGTAAATTATGGGGTAAAAGCATCAAAAATAAGTTAAAAGGTTCCCCGGATTTCTTAATTGGACAGGAGGGAGAAATATGAATCTTTGTGGCCCCAACCACTTGAGTCTTCCTCAACTCTTTTGAGTTGTCAGTCTGCTTTCACTGGGCAGGGACTGAAATACTGGTCATTCAACATGCCTGCAGCACTGAGTAAATGGAAGAATTTATCAAATAACAGAACTGAAGATGACAGGGCATGAGTTCTAGCTCCCTGAAACCATAATATAACTGTGACAACTTCCAACACGGTCAACTGTACACAGTGAATTCAAACTCTCTTCACAGTAAGAAGATTGTTAAAACCAAATTGCTTTGTAAGAGTCTTTCTTCATGGCCTTTTTTTTAAAAAAAAAGGCTGCTAAGAAGATACATGGGAGTCTCTTTTAAGGAATTAAATAATGTAACTCAAACATGTTAGTAAATTACCCATTTACAATGAGTATGCTACATACTCAAACAGGTTTGCAATTTTATTTCAAGTAAGGGAAATCAACAGCCCTCTGGGAGAGGTCTATACTGGGCCTTCTTCCTCTATTAACAGGTTTGCAATAAAAGAAAATACTACTATTTAGAAAAGCTACTATTGGTTACTTTTAGACCTCTGTACCAAGAGCTGTATTTTAAAGTGCCAAGAATTACTTTAATGCATTTGTAAAGTCTGGCAAGTGGAAATAAAATGAATCTTGTTCTGACCTATAGCTTTCAGAGGCTATCAAGAGGTGGGGAAAAGCAATTTGCTATTCAGTAATTGTTTTAGCAATTACTTACACTATTCACGAAGATTAAATTCTATTGCATGTTATCTGTTCATTGCGAAGAGAATTCATAACTTGGGCCTCTATTATCATATTAGAATCACCACTCTCATAAAATAAAGTGCTTTCCATATATTTTACTGTAACCCCATCAGCAAAGAATATGTAGTAATGAAGGCTAAACTTCACACACCAGCACTTTAAACTTAAAGGTTGTGAAAGGTTTGATTTTTCAACAAATCACACATATATCAATAAAGGAGGCATGCATCAATATGGTTGGCTCAAAAGTCATGGCAAGACCCAACTTTAATACCCTCTTTATCATCGCACATGCCTGATCCCACGATACCACTACATGACAGGATCATAACTTCCCTTATGCACAGAAAAAAGGCCTGCTGGAGGAGATGGTTGATGTCAAAAGAGCCCATTCCTTTAACAATAAAAAAAGCTTTACATTTACGAACGCTGACCCTACCTAAACAAGGTATTGCCATGCTTGTGTCAGTTGCATGAGGTCATCGTGTCAGCTGTTAATACAGGACACGAGAACAAGAGTTCAGCACAGCAGTTGCCTCCCTCTTGATATGGAATTGCAATTCGGCGCGATTTCTGTAACAATTTTCAACCAACAAAAGTAAACAAAACAAAACTCTCACCAGATTGGAACAAAAAGAAATGGTTTCATCCCCTGTTCCCACACCAGCGTATCACTGGTTTTACTCCGTCCAGAGGATGGGAAGCACTCTGAAAGGAGGGGAACAAGGAAAAAAAGTGCAAGCCTGTGTTCCGGTGTTGTAATTGGCTGCATGTCTGCAGCAGGCCTCGCACCCTGCCGTTTGGCTGCGCGCCTCTCGGTGTGCACTGTGCACCTATCTAATCAAAAGGGCGAGACGTGTTACCAATGACCCAGCTCGTCTATCTGCTTGATGCTGATAAAAAGGTGCTATGAAACGCAGTACAACCACGTATAAGTCTTCAACGTAACTAAGCCCCGTTATTATAAAATGAAATGACGTGTTTTTAGAATGGCAAGGTGGTTTACCTGCCTCAGGTCTCTGGTTCAGTTCTGGCATGTGAAGCCTTGTCGTTTGAGCCTTGAGTTTGCATGCTCTCCCTGTGCGGGATTTCTCCAAATGTCCTGGTTTCCTCTCACTTCCCAGTAACATGTCGGTTAGGTTAGGAGTTTTATCCAGGATGCAGTAGGACTCTACGCTGCTGCAACCCTTAGCAGTAATATTTGTTTTGACAACCAGTGGAATAGATAACCTACTTTAACAGAGCAAACTCAGCTATATAAACCACATTAATCTTTTATCCCTGGAAAACTGAGACAAGCGTACTTTTTAAGTTTTACTACACTATTGTAATGCACTTCATAGCATACCATTATCAGCTAAGTGCAAAGTGCTTCCCTTCTTCTTTAACAATTTGGACAATCTTTAATCCTTTTACAATGTCACACCTCGCAAATCACACTTTGCAACCACATCTGACAAGCCACATGAAGGACATGTTTGACTACAGCACTATCTGACTGTACGGTATACTTCTTTACCGACATCCCTCGTAAAGAAAGGGGAATGAAAAAGGGATGAACAGGGACAGAGTGTCAGTGTGGAGTACAAGCTGGGTCACTGGTGCGGGCAAAAGAAACCTAAATGTCAAAGCTTAATATTTGTATTTGCTTCTGCTTCCTGAAGTTTCAATATCAAGTTGTGAATATCCAGGTCTCGACTGTACAGTCCCTGAAGTATCAGTCATTCCGGAGAAGGCCAGAAGTATTAAGACTATTGCAGTGTCCACTGGAGGGAGCCACGCTGTGGCAGGAGATATTCGTTACCTCTGGTCCTTCAGAAGCATTCTGAAGTTATGAAGTTCTTTTATGCTGGTGGAGAGCCTGGAAAGAGAACAGAGAAAGAAAATCCCAAAAACAGATGGCAAAAGGAAAAGTCAAGGTAATGAAGACATGGCGTTAAAATTTTTTTTTTAAATTAAAAAAAATCAACCACTGGATTATAATTTGCTTGTTTTATTTGGCTCACGATGACGTATCTTTAACATTTTCTTTCATTCGGTTTTTCAGGTTTTCATTAATAATAATAATAATAAT